ATCAGGAACCCTGACTGGTGAGTTTTCTTTCCCAGGGAAGGGAACTGGAGTTTGTGCTCAGGGTCCTGTGTCCATGGGCGGGCACCTGACTGCAAAAAATCCGAACATCGAAGGCTGTGTCCCAGACAGGAGCTGCCCCCACCTCCTACTTGTCATGCCCTGACAGTCCCAGGGGAGCCCTACAAACTGACATCAGGAACCTGGATTGGTGAGTTTTCTTTCCCAGGGAAAAGAGCCAGAGTTTGTGCACAGGGCTCTACTTGCCAGGAAGGTCTCACAGCAATGAAACAGGATTGGAGTTTTAATTTTCCTTGTAAAGAGAGCCCAGCGGAGCTTGGCCTCAAGTGAGCATCTGCACCAGCTGCACTGGGAAGGTGCTGAGGAAGAACATTCTGTTTGGGGACAGCATGGCTAGAAGTAGCTGCCACTCAGGGCAGTTCCCCTAAATGCTGGATTTGCCATGGAAAAAAGAGTTAGTAGATCCTGACAGGGCTCCAGTGTCCAGGCTTCTGGATGTTTCTGCTGTCTGGAAAACCTTGCACGGCTACAGCCCTTAAAATAAACACAGCCCAAGATGTAACCTCATTCAGTATCCTGGGAGCACAGGCAGCCAACACTAACTGGAGCAACATGGAGGCTTTGTAAGGGGATTTTCGGGTTTAAGAAGGAACTAGCTCGCTGTGGAGGCTGGTATCCATGGCTGGGATTGAGGCAGTGGTGTGCCACGAGAAATAAAGGAAGCTGTACACTTCCTACCCAGGCTGCTCTCACACATATAAGTAGAGAGTACTCATATATATAATATATAAGGATTATGCTCCTCACTGACCGAAGGCTGGAGTTGCTGACATGCGTGACAGCAATCAGATTTTCACTCCCATTGAATGCACTAGCTACCAAAACCACGGATGCTCAGCTGGCCACTCTAGCTCTCGGAGGTTATGCAAAATATAACCTCAACCAAAACTTTAAACCAGCTGTTCTCTCCCTGTTTTAATGCAATGTTTTCACAGCAGAAGTTACTCCTTGCTGTCGGGCGCCCTCTCCTGCACGTTCACCTCTGTAGCTGTTCTGGTCACAGAGAATCCCTCTTCCTCCTCCTCCGGTAAAATCCTTCCCTACAAAAGTCCCTCCTGACCCCGGCACACCTCCCTGGTTTTCAGATACCCAACTTGTGGCCACTCACTACACTCCAGAAAGCTCCCAAGCAATCTTAGCTTTGCCAATAAAGAGTTACTAGGCAATTAGTTTTCTTTACAAAGCAAATTAATTCCAAGTATCCTCAACTTAAAATCATAGAATCCCAGACTGGTTTGGGCTGGGAAGGACCTTAAGGATCATCTTATTCCACCCTCTACCATGGGCAGGGACACCTTCTGCTAGAGTCAGGTTATTCCAATCCTCGAACACTTCCAAGGATGGGGCAGCCACAGCTTCTCACCATCCCCACAGGGAAGAATTTCTCCCCAATATCCCATCTAACCCTACCCTCCTTCACCTTAAAGCCATCCCCCTTGTGCTGTCCCTCCAGGCCTTTATCTCCAGCTCTCCTGGAGCCCCTTTAGGCACTGGAAGGGACTCTGAGGTCTCCCTGGAGCCTCCTCTTCTCCAAGGGAGCACCCCCAGCTCTCCCGGCCTTTCCTCATGGGAGAGATGATCCTCTCTACTCACCTCCGTGTGTGTTGGTTTTGCACAGCCTGTTTTTTTGGGGGGACGGGGAGGGGGTAGGGCACAGGGGTGGCTTCTGTGAGAAGCTGCTGGAAGCTTCCACCATGTCCAGCAGAGCCAGTCCCTGATGGCTCTGAAGCTGGGACATGCTGCTGGCCAAAACTGAGCCAACAAGAGAGGCTGGTAATGCCTCTGGGATAACAGATTTAAGGAGAAAATCAAAACAATGTGGACACAGGTTTTTCTCCTAGCCAGAAAAGAGGAGGAGGTGAGAACATGTGAGGGAGACACGAAGGTCAGTGGAGAAGGAGGGGCAGGAGGTGCTCCAGGGGCAGAGCCGAGATTCCTCTGCAGCCATGGTGAGACCAGGGTGAAGCAGCTGTGCCCCTTCATGGGGATCCATGGGGGATGCAGAGATCCACCCACAGCCCGTGGGGGTCCATGGGGGATGCAGAGATCCACCCACAGCCCCTGGGGATCCATGGGGGATGCAGAGATCCACCCACAGCCCATGGGGGTCCATGGGGGATGCAGAGATCCACCCACAGCCTGTGGGGGAGGTGCCCATGCTGGAGCAGGTGGATCCCTGGAGGAGGCTGTGATTCAGTAGATCCCTGGAGGAGGCTGTGATTCAGTAGAAGATCCCTGCAGGAGGCTGTGATTCAGGGAAGATCCCTGGAGGAGGCTGTGATTCAGTAGAAGATCCCTGCAGGAGGCTGTGATTCAGTAGAAGATCCCTGCAGGAGGCTGTGTTCAGGGAAGATCCCTGGAGGAGGCTGTGATTCAGTAGAAGATCCCTGCAGGAGGCTGTGTTCAGGGAAGATCCCTGCAGGAGGCTGTGTTCAGTGCAGACCCAGTGGAGAGCAGCTCCTGCTCCCAGGCTGGAGCAGCCTGTCCTTGCAGGACTGCAGCCCATGGACACAGAGCCCAGAGCAGCAGGTTTGGGAGGGCTCTGTGCCCGTGGCAGGGACTCACCTTGTGGCAGGTGAGGTTTGGCTGCTGTTCGTGGGAGTGGCCCCACGCTGGAGAAGTTCACAGGGAACTGTCTCATGTGGAGGGACCCCAGGGTCTCACAGGGAAAGGACCCCTCTCCTGAGCAGGGGAGAAAATCTGGGAGATGAACTGACCAAAACCCCCATGCCCTGCCTCCCTGTGCTGCCGGTGGGAAGGAGGGAGGGGCTGGGGGGAAAAGGTGATTTAAGGGCTTGTTTTACTTCTCATGATCCTACTCTGATTCTGTTAGCAATAAATTCACTTTGTACCTTTGAGCCTCTTTTGCCCTTGGAGTGTTTTCTCCCGGTCTTTATCTCAACTCATGAGCTCTTTGTTAATTTTTTCTCTCCTTTGCCCAGCTGTGGCAGGGGAAGGTGAGCAGCTTTTGTAGGTGCCTGGCTTTTGGCCAGTGTCAAACCGTGACACTCCATCATGCCCCTTCCAGCCTTCTTGCTGCTCCCCATAGCAAGACAGCAGTACCCACATGTCAGTGATTGTCCCTGCACTCTGGAGAGGCAAGAAAGGCAGGAGATTTGGTGTATCTGTTTCCAAATCTCAGTGTTCTGGCCAGAAGGGAGTTCAGAGAGGTGGGATGTGGCCCTTGCCTCCCGTCACCAGCAGCTCTGGAAATCTGCTCCAAGTATGAGTCCTCTTGCCCTGCTGTGACAGAGAATAACCCACCTTTTCATCTGGAGAAGAAAATCTGGGTTCCAACTCCTACAAAAGGCAAAGAACAGGGACCAAACCCTGAGAAATTTAAGAATTTCTACAAGAGGAAACAGTGTGGGGCTAACACTGAATCACCACACTTCTACATCCTCCTCTCATGGGCTGATTACCAAACCACTTTCTCTCCTGCTTCCTGCCTCCTTGTTGTCTTTTTTACACTCTGTCAAATTGTTCATGTGGCTTCCTCATCCCCACTCTCTGTTCCAAGACTTCTCCTTATCATATTTTCCTAGTTTATCATCAAAAATCTGCCAGAAACAAAGAGAAATTGTGTCCTGGAGAACACTAGAGAGCGCTTTGACCTTTGGCCAATGCTCTGGTGCAACATTTATGGCATTTGATACATGTGTTTTAGAAGACTTTTTATTGTAGGCTGGGGATGAGGAGTACATGCCTGTTTCCTGTAAAATTTCATAGAGAGTTGCTATTCATGGTCTGTAGGTGCCTTTGACAAATCCTTCTGCAGGGTGGCCAGTTTGAGTTTTCTCTGATCAATGGCTACACAGTACTACTGTCCTTTATTTCACAAGAAAGGACATTAAAAATTTGGGTTTGGTTGCTTTGTGCAATCAGGTGTTTCATTGTCCAACAGCTCTGTATCCCTGACTTGTTCAGACGCAGATGATTTTCTTTCCTCTGTTCTTGCTGGAGGTGCTCAGGACCAGGATATATGCCAGGCCTGGAAAGTTGTGAAAGTTGTTCCTCCACTTGTGGACCTTGGGATTTAGGTCCCTCCTTCCCACGCACACCAACTCACCAGACTTCTGCAAAATCAACCACTGAAAGCAGTGGGAAAAGGAACCCACCGGGTTTCATGAATTGAAACTGCCTCCTCTGAGATTTACTTCAGCATACCTGTTCCTGGAACACAACAGGTAGTTCTCTAAAGACACAGAAGTATGGAACAAAGCTCCCAAAAATGCCTACATTTTTATGGTAGCCAAAGCTTTGGTATCTACTCACAGTTTCATTCCACTGCTCCTTTCCTTATCACCAGAGATGCCTGGAACTCCTTTCAAACATTACTATTTAAATTGCTTCCCAAGTTTGAAGTAGGCTTGTTTTAACTTGTTTTTTCAAGGTAGTGTTTTCTGTTGTTGCTAAAAAAAACTGATTTTTTTTTTTTTTTGTAGCTTCTGGAAAGATGAAGACATTTAGATTGAATTTAAGAAGCTTTTTTCAACGGGGGTGGTGAGGCCCTGGCACAGGGGGCTCAGAGGAGCTGTGGCTGCTCCATCTCTGGAAGGGTCCAAAGGCCCAGGTTGGATGGAGCTTGGAGCAGCCCAGGATAGGGCAAAGTTCCCTGCCCATGGCAGAGGATGGGACTGGGATAGCTTTAAGGTCTCTTCCACCCTAACCCAGTCTGGGATTCTCTGACCAGAACTATCTTGCTAGCTCAGAGGCGTGTGAGAACAGAGAAGCCAATGCAGAACACCTGAAGTGGGTTGGATGCTCAGAGCAGACAGTGTAGGGGGAAAAAAAACATCAGCTTAATGTCATGAGTACAAAAAAAGGCTTCTTTGAGCAGTAGTCACCCTTTAACATCCTCCTGTTGTGCTTTCATTGTAATGTCTGTCATTCCCAGTCATACCAGCCACATAATAGAGTTCTTCAGGGCTTCTAATTTTTATTGTCATTGTGCTCCCACTGTTATGTTAATTAGATTAAACCAGACTCCCACTGAGGCTGTAACAATGATAAACAGTGTAGTAATCTGTCAGCTCTCTCTGAAACCACTTTCCACGGCTTTGGAAACGTGCTGCTCCGACAGACCACACTGCTGTATATTGTAAATAATCTGCTTTGATCACACTTGCTCACATACATTGTAATAATCAACACTGAAAAATAAGCTTCTAATGACTCACAACCTGAGGCACATTATTGATCTTTCTAATCAGCTACCATGAAGGGGCTCATGGAAGCAGAATGTATTAATGCTGCCATTTTTAACTACACAAGACAAATATTGTGGAGAGAGGGGTCCTGCCAGAAATCTAAAATGACCACACATTAATACTCATCATTTTCTTTGTCTGGAAAAAAATTGGCTAATTCCATCTTTCCCTCTTTGCCTGAAATAGGTTCTAGCCTTTCCACTAATTGTTTTAAAGATAGCAGTAAATTCTGACAGCTTTTAACACAGACACTCAGTTCTGTGGGATTTTGCTTCCAGGCCATTAACTCCTAAATCCATATTCTGACAGATTTCTTCTGAGGAACAAAGAACAGCATAGGAATGAGACCTGAACTGCTTTTCTTGTCTTACTGTAGAGACACTCAGCAACAAAGCCCTCCTCGTTATAGAACCTGTGCAGAATGAGGACTTCACAAATCCAGGTTCTTTACAAGTGCTGTGGAAACCATTATTACAGATGGATCTGTAATTCTCACTAGCCCTGTGCCTCATTTCAGTGAATCCCAAAAGGTTAAGTCCTCTTTATTCAGTGTGTGTGTGTGTGTGTGCTGATGTATGGACATCTGCTGTGTCCATAAACCAGCATTACACGTCCCGTTTCTCCTCCTGCTGCAAATCTGAAGCAGATGTGTGAGGCTGCAGAAAATAGGTGTAAGCTGTATTTCTCCAAACTGTGTTCTTGCTGCTGTTTAGAAGGCAGCAATTTGTCAAATAGCAGAACCAGAGACTTTAGAAGCAAATAACAACATACAGCCACAATCTCGCTTTTCCATCCTTTGGCCTGAAAATAATCAAAGAAGAGTGAAAATAGAACCCAAAAATAGAAATTACTTATTTTTTAGACCTCTACCCTAATATAATGCCTGTCCCCAGCACCTACCAAAGTCCACTGCAGACCCCTCATTCATAAGGCTGGCAACTGTGATCCTGGAAAGAAGCTGCAAATGCAAAGTCCTACCTAATATGCTGGACTGAAATGTGTGTTCAGTATGCTCCAGCAGCTCCAAATTAATCAGAGCTCAGATCTATGGAACCCAAGGGCTGTCCAGGCTGGAGCAGCAAAGTCAGGGAACTCCCAGCAGTTAGAAAGCAGAGCTGTGTTATGAAGAAATGGGCACAGCTGCGTTGGTGAGTCACATGTGGGTTTAGAGCAAGGACCCAGCTGGAAAACACTTATTCTCCATCATTTCTTGAGGTCACTGCTGAAGTTCAAGTAATGAAAAAAACTGATGAGTTAAAAGCAAACCTCCCTAGGTTATATTTGAAACACACAGCTCAGGGATAGTCTTACACAATTTAAGCAGCCTCTGGAAAGTGTGGCACCATCATCCACTAAGCTTTTCCACTCAGGGAAACAGCTGGGTTGAGGATCGCAGGCTTTGACCAGCTACAAAACAAGATAAGTCTGTGCTACAGGAAATCTTCCAAAATAAGATATCAAACAGAGAAGGAATAGTCATTCATTTCCTGTAACTGATGCTTAAGCCAAGAATCATTAAAATGTATCCTGATTTTTTAAAGTTTTTTTTTTCCCTTTTCTCCCTGTCCCATCTTGTCTTTTTGCATTCTCCTTATCCTTGTCTCTTTAAAAAGAGGCTTTTTAAATTTTGATCACTACTTGCAAAGATCAGCACAACAGACCAAGTCATCCTCCTACTTATTTACCTTTGTGCTTGATTTTCAGTGCAAGCATAAGCCTTCAATGATTTCAGCAAAGCTTCTTGGTTGGGCATTCACTGGAAGAAAAACAGATTCTGTCTTTGCAGGAGAAAAAAAAATAGTCTGATTGTATCTGTCTCATGCTTCACTAGAGGGCTCCAGATAATTATCTTAAATATTATCCAGGCGGCTGTGGTGTACAGGCTGTTAATTGCACCTAATTAGACATCAGTACATGTATTAATCAACTACAAGTCAGACCTCAATACAGAAACACTCAGTGGCACTGTTTCCATCTACAATTAGCCTCCAGCTCCTATTTGGGTCCCCAGAAGTTGTGTGCAGGTATTGCTTCTCCCTCCCAATATTCTCCTGTTTCTAACCCTGCTGCTGTGCTGTCTTGTGTCACACACCTAAAATATTGCACGTTATTTCAAATATTGCCCACGGCTCTAGGATGAGAACAGCCAGTGCTAAATTTATTTTCCAGGGCACAGCACATTTTTTTCACCACAAATGAAAAGTTCATCAGTGCAAGAGACACTTATACTGTGGGTTAGTCTCAGCCTGTAGTTCATCCCACAAAACACCTTATACACCTCATAAATCTTTGACTTCATCTTTGTGACACTTTCTATGTAGTCACTTCTTTAAAACCTATTTCCAAACACTGTATACAGAAACTCCCTTCCTTTGGCAGGCTTTAAGTACCCTTGTTTCCTTACTGCAGAGAGCAGGATGTTGTTTACTGAATGACAGATTAAAAAGTTGTTAACAGGGTTTAATCATGTTCCTATTTTAGTTCAAACTACCTCTGCTAGGCACCAGAGCTGGAGCATTCTGCTTTCTTTGACCTGACACTACTTAAACCCTTCTGAAAGGATGTGCAAAATCTTCTGAGGAAGCAAGGTAAAAAACAAGATTGCTTTTCCTTCAATCCACTTACTATAATAAAAGTAGTAAACAAGGAGTTACAAGAAAAAACAGCTGCAGTTTGATACCAAAGCTGGATTCTGTCTTACTCCCTGCCCCCTGTGCAGAGCACAGAAGCAACATTTTCTTGTTTTTCCCAAGTTACTTATGATGAGATCCCACTCTTTGGCCTTAATTTCTGGACCCTAGATTTCTGGGAATGGAAGAAATTAGCTTATCTTTTGCAGCCTGAATTTGGAATATCCGCTGGCTACAAGGGACAGACCATACACACAGCACCCCACAGGGAGAAGGCAGCCACGTGTTCAGGGTGCTACTCCCACCCTATGGAATAAGCTGGCCATATTTCATACCTGGGAAGTCCCACCTGTGTCAGGGTATGTGGGTGGCTCTGAACATTGGCACAAAGGTGTCACTTTGGGCAGACAAACAGCTGCTCTCTCCTCAGCTCTGGTTTTCTCTGGCAGCACATGGAAGCAGAAACAATTATTACCTTTGGTTTTGTAGTGGATGAACAGCATGTTTTAGATTAGTGGAATTAATTCTTGTGCTGCATCAAAGGGATATAGGTAAAGGCTAAAATAAGAAACCAAACAAGGGAAAATATTTGTAATAAGCTAATTATCTGATTAAATGATTACATGCTTTGTCATCCTACACCTGTTAATACACCACTGTAAATATCAAATGCAGAATTAATACCAGCCATTAAATGCTCTCCAAAAGCCCAATTAAGCATGTGTTTACGAATGATGCCACTAATTATCCACATCTTCTATTTCAATCAAATGTTTCCAATACAGCAGGAACGGTGGAAAGCAGGAGCTGATGAAAGCTCTCTCAGCTCTCATGCTGCATGGTTCTGCTACCTGCTGCAGAGAACAAAAATGCTCCCAACACAGAGCATTGTATTGTATTGAAACACAATATTATCCACCTCCCAGGCTTTCTTGTCTGCACCCAAGTGCAGAATCACAGGATGAGGGGGTAACTTGAGCTGGAGGGGCCCTCAGAGGTCCCTGTCCAAGCTGCAGCTCAGAGCAGGTCAGCTCTGGGGTCAGACCAGGCCACTCAGGGCTTGAACTGCCAGCTTTGGAAAACCTCCAAGATGGAGATGGCACAACTTTGCTAGGCAACTGTGCTGCTGCTGAGAGTCCTCATGGGGAATAGGTTTTCCCTGTATTCATCCAGAACTTTCTTGTTTTGGCTCCTTGTCACCTCTCACCTTGGCTCAATAACCTCAAAGGAAGGGGCTGGATGTGTAAGGTCCCCAAAGCCTTGCCTGCCCTGGGCTGACCAAGCCCTGCTTCCATGGCTTTTTCTCTCAGGGGAAGTTCTGCACCCCCAGCCATCCTGGGGGCTTCCCTTCCCTTCCCTTCCCTTCCCTTCCCTTCCCTTCCCTTCCCTTCCCTTCCCTTCCCTTCCCTTCCCTTCCCTTCCCTTCCCTTCCCTTCCCTTCCCTTCCCTTCCCTTCCCTTCCCTTCCCTTCCCTTCCCTTCCCTTCCCTTCCCTTCCCTTCCCTTCCCTTCCCTTCCCTTCCCTTCCCTTCCCTTCCCTTCCCTTCCCTTCCCTTCCCTTCCCTTCCCTTCCCTTCCCTTCCCTTCCCTCAGTCTGTCAAGGCCTTTCCTAAAGCAGGGAGAGCCCCAAACTGGACACAGTACCTGGTTATGATCTAGGGAGTGCTGAGCATGAGGGACACGTCCCCCAGTCCCCTGGCCATGAGAGCAGCGTCCCTGTGCCAGCAGGGCTCCTGCTGGGCAGCCAGCTTTGCATCTGCACCAGCTGCCCTGAGCACAAAACCCTCTTGCTGATGTCTTGGCAGGAGGACAGCCTGCACTTGGAGAGTACTTGGCAGCCTTTTCTCACATCCTTAAAAGCAGCAACAACACCACATTGCAGAGGAGATCCAAGGTGCTGCTATTAAATCATGCAGGAAATATAAAACAGAATCAAGTAAATATTCTTAGAAATACAGTGAGCTGGACACCATTAGCACAGCTAAAAAGCGTTGAATTTCTCAGCAACAGGTTCCTAGAAATGTTTACAATTTGTTAATTTACATGCCAGTTTGTAATTTTGCATTATACCAGATTTCCTCCTCTGAGGCTGGAGAGGTCCTGGCACAGGGTGCCCAGGGAAGCTGTGGCTGCCCCTGCATCCCTGGAAGTGTCCCAGGCCAGGCTGGACAGGGCTTGGAGCAACCTGGGACAGTGGAAGGTGTCCCTGCCCATGGCAGGGCTGGGATGAGATGAATTTAAGGTCCCTGCCAACCTAAACCATTCTGGGATTCTGTGATTCCAACCCACCTTGCACTCCATCTGCCTTTGGAGATCTGCCTTCCTTAAAACTGCATGCTCTCATTTTGCAAATCTTATTTTTGCAGCATTAAGCTTTTCTCACGTAGAACAAATTTTACTAACAGTGGTATATCAGTATCAGAATTTCTTCACTCACCTCAGTGCTGCAGGCAATTAACAAGTGAAGCAATATTTTACCAAAGGGCACTTCTGGTACCACAATAACTTGCCAGACAACATTTTCCTTTCCTTGGCACTGATGAATAGCTGAAACTTCAGGAAAATTTCAGTTATTAGTTCTGACTACTGTCATTCTAAAGAGAGGAATGTATCAGAATCTCTTATTCCATTCTGTACCAGCTTTGAATTTTAACACTGAAAGAGCTCAAAACAACCCACTTCAGAAAAATAATTCTTTAAGAAACCATATCAATAACAAGGACTGTTAAATCCTGTCCACAGCTGACTCCCTCTGAGATATTTGATCACACTTAGAAAACAGAGATGTTATTCCTGACTAACTTAACAATGTCTTGTAAGGATCAATTATATAGGCTGCATTATAGGTCATAAGGGGCGTGAGGGAGTGAAAACTACTCCATAAAAACAGTTACTTAGGAATAACCTGACTTAGGCTAGAATTTCTCAAAAATACGTGAAGTTTTGCAAGAAGAGGTGAAGGTCCAAACCAGGACTTTTAAAATATTCTAATTATGAGAACACTAACTATAACACTCTAAAAAAAACTTAAAATATTTTATACTGAACTGCCTTAAATACTCTGTATTGAATTGCCTTAAATACTCCATATTGAATTGCCTTAAATACTCCGTATTGAATTGCCTTAAATACTCCTTATCGAATAATCTTAATTATGTTGCTGCATGATTAAAGACTGAAGTATTAATTCAAACTCACGTCTGATCTCTGTTCACTTTTTACTCACACCAGATTTAATTACACTAAGTGTACTGCCATGCTATCGCTATAAAATAGTTAATGCCAAGACCAGTAGAGGCACCTCTGAAGGCCCAAAGCTCATAAATACAGTTTTAATTTACCAAACGTTAAAACGCAGACACGGGGAGACAAAAGTTTATTTCGCGTTAGGACCGCAGAGCGGGCTGGAGATGCTCGAGAACACCCAAAGGTGTATAGGAAACAGAAACACCGCAAGTCGTGCTCCAGCTTCTGTCCCTTGTCTGCGGGGTGTGGGGACGGCGCTGGGCTCGGTGCCTCGCTGCCCGCCCGGTTCCCTGTTTCCCCCAGCCCGGGGCTCCGGGCGCGGCCCCTCGGCAGCGGAGCTCAGGGGCTCGGAGCCCCAGGCCGCCCTTCACCCTCCGGGCACTGCGGGCCGCTGCTGCCCGCAGAGCGGGGATGAGGCGGCAATGACAACCCAGCTCCTGCGGGCCGCGGGCTCACCTGCCCGGCCACAGCGGGGGCTGCTCGGCCCGGCAACCACAGAGCACCGCGGCTGGAAAACACCATCGAGGCCAACCTATGCCCTGTCAGCCACGCCATGGCACAAGTGCCGCAGCCAGCCTGTCCTTAAACACCTCCAGGGACGGGAACCCCGCCGCCCCCCTGGGCAGCCCTTTCCAATGTCTCATCACCATATCCGGGCAGGAATTCCTCCAGATGTACGACCTGAACCTCTCCTGGTGCAGCTCAGCCCGGGGAGGGCGGTCAATGGAGAGAGGCAGCGGTGCGGAGGGAGCCCCGCAGGACGCGGGGCCGCAGCCCGGGAAAGGGAAGGGGAAAGGCTCTGGAGGCGGAGGAGGGCGCGGGGCGGCCCGGGCGCGGCGGCCCCGTCCGCGCTCCCCCTGCCCAGCCCCGGCCATGAATATGTAACTCCCCTCTATTTCCCGAGCTCCATTGCGGAGCCGCCGCTCGCCATATTGTGCTGCGGGGGCTGCGGCGGCAGCGCCGGCCACGGAGCGAGGCGGCGGCGGCGGCGGGCGGTGAGCGCGGGGCCGGGCGCGCCGCCGGGGCTGTGTCCCGCGGGAGCGGGGCGGGAGCGGAGCCGCGGGTGCCTGTGCGCGGTGTCCGAGCGGGGCTGGCCCCGGCCGGGAGGCGGCGGGGCGGCTGCCGGGCTATTCCGGCGGGGCGGGGGTCGCACTGTCCGGGAGGAGCCGTGCCAGCGGTCCTATGGCAGTCTGGAGCCCCCGTTGCCTCCAGCCCGGCCGTGCTGCCGGGCCGCGGGGCACCGAGCCGCCCCCAGGGCCGGCGTGGGGCTGCCGAGCCCAGAACAGCCGGGTATGACCATCTGTACACACGTACCTATATGTGCGCGGCTGTCTCCCTATGCATGCACGTAGGGATGCGTGTGTAGGTGCATGTGTGCAGCCCGGGCGCTGCAGGCAGAGGGAGAAGGCAGGGCTCCATCGTAGCCGCAGTAGCGCAGCAGCAGCCGGGAGCGCGGCACCGCCGCTGCCATCCCCGGCGAGGGACAGCTCACGGACACGGCCCCGAGCTGTCCCGCTGGCTCTGAGCGGTGCCATCCTGTTGTGATTTATAGCTCGGCCTTCCCGGTCTTTTGTCTGTCCCGGAGCCCGTGCCGAGCGGTGCTGGCGGGGCGGGATGCTCGCGAACTGGGCTGGGAGCGACCCGGCTGCTCCCGGGAAAATGTCGCTTCCCACAGGGCAGCAGGTGCAGAAGGACGCTGTGCCGGGAGCTGAGGATGTGTCTCCTCCCTCCACATCGCTCCCGCTGCCTTCTGTACGAATTTAGCACTTGCTTCTTGCCAAGTTTTACATTCTGCAGTAGCTCTTCTGGATCTCTTGCCTTCCTTGCACCAGCCCTATGGCACTGTGTGTATATGGAATAAGCGCTAAGCCATATTCTTCTCGGGATTTTTGTGAGCTGTTTTTCATACCTTCTTCTATGGAAAAAATTGGATCAAGTGCCTAATTCCACAGAAATCCAGAGGACATTTAGTAGAGAAAGATGATTTCCAGTATGATAATTCGTAATCCTGCCCTGTTTGGAAACTGAGTGATAACTGTGCACTGCACATGGGTTTTTAAGGATTAAAGAGAATTGCTTGTGTTTGAAAAAATGTGACTGGTGTGCAGGTGAAATTATTATTGCTTGGGGAGAATTCTTTCATCGAGTGTCATTCATTCAGTGACAAAGACTCGATTTGTCATAGGAGTTCCCTGCAGAGGTGCTCTGATTTGTATTCATCTGTGTTTCCATTAAAAACTTGTGTAATGAGATAATTTGACTTTCTTATACATCATGTCAAGCTCAGAGCTGACATTCAGCTGTCAGCGAAGACAGAGGCACTGGCTGTGACAGCAGCAGATATGGATAAGCAGTATATTTTGCATTAAAAATGTTTGTTGGAAGGATTAGCTTTATCAGTTGTTTGGAGAAGGGAGGAATTTTCACTGGGCAGCACTAGCTGCAGTGTCAGGTACAAGTTTGTGGCTGGGTGTGACTCTGTGACAGTGCCTCTCTGCAATGACAGACAAATCGAGAGCATCTTTAAACCTCACTGCCCCCATTAATTGTTCCTTGCAGTGTTTAATAACTGCACACTCACAGTGTTTAATAATATTGTTGTCTGCATTCGAGTTTATGCTAATAGAGGGACACAGACATTGTATTGGAGGTATTTTTTCACTTTTTCAGTGGCTAAAATTGTTGGCCTTTGGCTTCAAAGCTTTGAAGCACCACCCTTGCTGCAACTGCCAGGAAAAGCACTTTCTGTCACGTCTTAGAGGTGAAATAATATGCAGGTGCCAGCAAAATAAATTGCATGGGTTTCCCTTGGTCAATGATGCTTTGTGTTTTAGGAGTGATGAGTGGTAATGGGTTGAGTATAGACTTGCTTGGGGATCTTGGGTGATTGGAACAGAATTCTGGCATTTTCAGTGCTCTGCTGTCATTGAATAGAAATACAGGCTACAGGAAAGCTATCAGTCTTATATGTGAAATAGATGTTGGGCTAAGTGAATTTCTTCATCTTTCTTTTAACTCTTTCCCTTGCTTACAAAAAAAAAAAAAAAAAAAGTAACGGGAGGAGGGAAAGGAGCTTTAAAAATGAGACTCCAGTCTGCGACTGCTCAGTTGTATTTTTCTTAGGAGCACTGGATTTCCTCTTGCTGAAGCACCAGCTATAGGAACATGCATGAAAGAAGCATTGGAGTAAAGGAATTCCTTCCACTTTCTTTTTCCTTAAATACCTCCTACCTATTTTTTTCTGAATAGATCAGCAGTTTAATAATGATGCAGACAGAGAATAAAGAGATTGGTGAAGAGATGCTGTTGAGCCTCAGCTTGCTTTTGCTTGGTTTTCTGTTGATTCAAATAACTGGCTGTCAGAGCTGACCTTAAATTCTTAATTTTCAAAGGAAAGAGCAGCATTTGATATTGTGGAGCTGTTTAGACTTGTTGCAGTGGAGAAATATTTTAGGAATTACCCCAGTCTGCTTTCCCCCAACATGTGCATCCTGGAGCTCTCTTGCAGACAGCAGGGAGTTAGCAGTAGTGTTCTGCTAACTAATTAAAAGCTAATCATTCTTTACTCTTCACCTCTTGGGATAACATTGCACTGGTTTGTGTAAGTATTGGTTTAAACTGTGTTAAGTGTTGTTCCTGTAGTACTGTTTACAAAATGGACAGTCTTACTTGCGAGGGAGTCCTTGAAACAGAAATTGTTCTTTGCAGTTGCCCAGCTTTACGTGAGAGCTGCCTGCTTGCCAAATTCACTGTTTTGCTTTTATATGTTTGTTGCAGCGATTAAGTCAATCAGACATAAAATTGCTTGAGTCTTTTTGTCTCTCAAGTGTTGTGGGGGAGTTTATTTTCTGTTTATTAATAACCAAGCTGTCTTTTTGTTCTCATCAAGAAAATTCTATCACTGTTGGTTGTGGCTTCACTGCCAAGTGGGAGAGAAATCCTTGTGGCTCTCTAACATAGCTCTTGGAAGGAACCTGGGATCCTGCACATGCCTCTGGCAGAACCAGTCACAGCATTTGTGAAGATGCAAAAGATTCTGAATTGTAGCGCATGGATGTTCACAGAATTTTTGTTAAATGTGCAAAAAATTTAAAGGCCACAACAGAGGTACTGAAATGATTAAACTTCACCTTACTGATTGAAGTGCTCTGGTCTTGCTTTTGGCAGCTGTTACTTCAAGGACACAGCAAGAGAGTGGCCTCAAAAAAATGTGCCAGCAGAGCAGGGCAAGGAAAAATGAAAAACTAAGTCTCATTAAAAATATCCTAAGGCAACACATATCACAGATTGTTTGCACAATTTAGTTGCTTGATGGATTCAACTTTTCTAGAGTTTGAGGCTTTACTTTTGTTTGCTCCCAAACATTTTCAGTCCTTTATCCCTCCTGTTCTGATCTGATACAGCACTGAAATGAATTTTAGAAAGGAACTTTGACTTTTCTCCTTACCAGCTGTTATTAATTCTGAAGTCCAAGGTTAATTTAAGAGATAAAGAACTTCATTTTTGAAACTCACCTGGGTAGTCACACGCATACTATACAGTACCATGCTTCATAATATGAAAAACTTGGCATAAAATTTAACAAGCAGCAGATCAAATTACAATTCAACTCACTCCTCCAGAGTTCTGCTTAATATTATTGCTTCACAGGGCTAAATTATAGCTTGGTAATGGCTGTTTTCCTTTTTATATGAATTCTTGGCAAAGGTCTTTGGCACATTTGAGGTCAAGTGTTTGCCTGATCTATTGATCCACATCAACAGTGAGTTGTTGCTGTTCCTGTAACAGTTTTGGGGTTTGTTTCTACTCCTGGCAGAAGGCATTAATGTTGTAACATACTTTAATACTACTTTGGAGGAGATACAGGTGATGTGAAAGGCTAAGTTCCAGTATATGAGCTCTGATGATTAAAATTATCTTACTGCCTGATGCATTACAACAGCAGGCAAAGTTTGCTTTTGTGTGTGTGTGTATGTGTGTACCAAAACCTGAAAAGTTTTCAAATTAACCCTTAAAAAAAAAAAAAATCTAAGCTTTATAATTTAGTGATAGCCTGGGTTTGACATCTGATGAGTTTGAGCAGGTGAGTTCTGGGCACCTTAGAGGGACTGATGATATAGATAGTTCTCTGGAAATGTCATGGTATTTTTATGTATTCCAGTTTTTCTAGCTGAGGAGATGTCGAGGAGGGTAGGGTACAGAACTGGGAATGAGGAGCTGACACTGAGGACTAAAGGTTATTGACAAGAATGGAGTGATCTGGGAGGTGGTGTGAAAAGGCCAGATGCATACAGAGTACAGACCTTGTTAGAATAAACTGAAATTTGAGCTTCAGCTCCACAGGAGGGATGTACCTAGGCTCAGGGTGCTTAAATGCTGCTATACTTTCCTGCTATAAATATACAGAGAAGCACCAACCTAAAATCAGTCACATCTCTGTTTCATGTCCAGAAGTACATGGCTGTTCCCAACACTCATAAAACAGCCTGGAGTTTGATCAGCAGTTTAATTTGGTACTTAATTTCCCCCTGTTGCCCTTGACATCTAAACCAGGAGATTATCTCCCTTTGGACACTTCTGTCAGCATCAGATTCATGGAGCCCTTCCAGAGGTGTCCAGATGCACAGCAGATGGTTTGTGTGAGGTCACACTCCAGTGTGTCTCAGCCAGCAGCAGCAGCTTCACAGCCAGATTGGAAATGCTGCCCAACTCCATGGATTGATCCATCTCG